CTCTTCCGATCTCAACGCCGGTAACACGGCAATTTTAAGAGAGGATTATTCGCTGAGTAATTAAAGTTTAAAAATGGGCAAAAATTTACTGTTTGTGAAAAAAAGTAAAAGTGATTCCCTAATTTTTTGGATGCAGTGTATTTTAACTTTTATTTATCAGCCTATATTATCACAAAGAAATCAAATTATACACATATAATTATTTGTTTTTCTCATTCCTAAGATTTGTTTTCTACAACACAGATATAATAATTATTGATAATTACAGATTACATGCAGTAAACATGGAAGCTAACAATGTTGCTCAATCATCTCCCAATGTTAATATGTATCCAAGACCATATTATCCAATGGAAGAAACAATAGAAGAGGAAATACATGAAGGAATCGAATTACAACATATAACTGATAAAAGTAACCAAGAAAATGTTATCTACAAGGATGACGATGACGACGAAAGTGACGTTCTGACGCAAGTGTCAATAACATCGAGCCAAGATCAGTCTAGTTATCTCATTAGTCCTTACTGGCTTCAAGACGAAAGACTGCGAAGAGGTATAGTAGATTTCTTGTCGAACGATGAAGAAGAATTTTGGAAAGATCTGATTGGAAAATATTTGCGACCTATTGAAAGTGATGAAGAGAGTCAAGTGAGTTGAATTTATTTATCTTTATTCTGCAAAAAGGAGAAGAAAAATAGGCAAAGTGAAAGTAATTGATAGAAATTTGTTATGTATTACTTTTAACATGACACACATATGCATACGCGCAATGAGGTATCCTATTTTTTCCTTGTTTAACATTTAGTGAATAACAAGGCTAAGATGATACATCATATATGTATGAAACGGAACGCATGATCAATTTAAACAATTATGTATTAATAAAATTAATATTCAAAATAGTATATGTATATGTGAAAAGAATAGATATCTCGCTCCATCTTATTGTGCTTTACAAATTGTTCGTGCACTTGAGTGAGATAATAACAAGAATGGAACAGTAAGAATATGATATATATAATATTATACGTATGTAATATGTACACATAGAAGAGAATATGTACGTATAGGTATAATCTTTTATTTCATGCGAATGTTGAACATTGAAGAATATAACCATCCATTTCATTATACGATATATTATAATTCTATATGCGTACATATATTATACTGCACCGGTCTAAAAAATTAGAGGATTACTTTTTCTCAGTAAATTATTGTCCATTTTTAAACTTTGGTTATTCAGCGAATAATTAACGTAAAAAATAGATCAAAAAAGGATTTTACAGAGCAAACTCTCTCTACTATAAGATGCCTTTGTTCAACTTTTACTCACTTTAATATTCAAAGACGTGATCAGCTTTGAATAAAGACGTATTTGAGACATTTAAAATCTCGAAATTTGTGGTCTTCTACCCATAACAAAAAAATTGGCGAAAATAATCATTGATACCATTTCAAAGTACAGACTTTGCCCTTTCAAATGGAAAAAAAAACTTTTTGCTACATCGTTTATATAGCAAGATATTGCAATTTCAAGTAACCTCTGTTTTTTTTCTGCGATTTTAGCACGATATATCGAAGACAACAAATTTCGAGATTTTAGTACGATATATCGTGCTAAAATCGTAAAAAAAACAGAGGTTATTTGAAATTGCTTGCTAAAAATAATCGATAGTAGAAGTTTTTTTTTCATTTGAAAGGGAAAGGCAAAGTCCGTACTTTGAGATATGATGCCAATCATTATTTTTGCCAATTTTTTTGTTAGGTGATAGAAGACCATAAATTTCGAGATTTTAGATATGTCAAATACGTCTTCATTCAAAGCTGATCACGTCTTTAAATATTAAAGTGAGTGAAAGTTAAACAAAGGCATCTTATAGTAGAGAGTTTACTCTGTAAAATCAAAGTAACCAAAGTTTAAAAATGGGCAAAAATTTACTGAGAAAAAGTGATTCCCTCTAATTTTTTGGACCAGTGCAGTATATGTATATGTATGTTTAGCTAACAACAAGATAATATTGATATGATAATTTTATTGTTAGCGAAAGTGTTTCTTTCTCTCCGTTCTCTCCTAATTAATTTTATGTTCTTTTTAGAACAAAATAACTCAAGAACTGATGAACTGTCGTGATGCATATTTATTAAAATTCTTCATGTTAAATGCTTTGTTTGTGCTAATTGTGTTTCTTATGCAGTTAAACAAAGATAGATTGCATTTGCAATGGCCGCTTGGAATGAAGTATAATGTTACATATTATTCACAAGGAAATGAGGTAAATCTCTTATAATATATAATAATATAATAATAGTAATAATCAAATATATATTTTGTTAGCTATAATTTCACATAATCATTACATTTAACAATGTTATTCAATTTGTTTATTTTGAAAGACTTGCTTAAATTTAATGATTATTATGACAATTATTTTATAACTTTATATAATTAAAAAATTACAAGGTTAAAAAAATTAAAATTACATATCAAGGATCTGACCGAATAATAGTTATACAAGCGGGCACTACACCTGATTTCTTATGAAAAAATGCGAAGAAAATGGAATAAAATTTTTTTATTTTCAGTTTAATTAGCTTTCGAGAAAATCGAATTTAAAAATCCACTGCAATAAATACGCATGCTGTTACGCTAAGGTACGGTTTGTCGAGCAATGTATAATACCTATATCGTATTTATAAACAATGTCTATACGGCATTAATTAAAAGCTACGAAGAATTGAAGGAAAAACACAGGGAAAATTTTTAATGAACAAAATTTTATTTTATCAAAGATATTTTAGATATTTTATCAAAGAAATTTTATTTTATCACGGAATTGTTGAAACTGTTGTCTTCGTTGTTCGATGCATTATATATATATTATATATTTTTTTCATAAGAAATCATATGCCCGCTCGTAATTACGTACGTATATACATATATTATTCGGTCGGATCCTGTATATTGATTTTCTGCAGGTACATTTAACAAAAGAATATTTAAGACTCGAACCGATAGGATGCGTATTTATTGCTGCATTCATCAGCATATTAGGTATCCAGTTCTGCGCTATGCTAATTCATCGATTTGGTACGCTTTCACATGTACTCGCTAATACGAAACTTCCTTGTACTAAGGTAATATTAAAAGAAAAGAAGAATTAATATTCATCAATATAAAATGCTTTTCTTATTTCTTTACAAATAAATAAATATAACAAAAGATTAATTTGTATAAAAACACACACACATATTATACGTACATATTATATACTTCATATATGTATATCCAAAACTTATTTTGTGTGTGTATGTGTAGTTTCTTTCTATTGTTTCTTCTTCTCATTGTCAGATGACTTCTTCGGAAGATGACGTTTTCGAAAAGCACGCTAATAAAATAGCACAGTTACTTCAACGCATGGCGGAGGATGACGTAATATTCGAACATAGACGAAGTACCGTAACTTCTTTCAATAAGCGAAATGCGCACGAATTAATTACGGAAAATTCAAAGAGATCATTGAAGATATTGGGAAACTTTGAAAGGTTGTTTCGACGAAAGCTTCATGATCCAAGTTCAGGTATAATGCTCTTAATTGTTGAAATTTTTATATTCAGCGTATCACTATTAGGATTGAATAATTAGATATTAAGGATCCAAGTTTCAGTTTAATTGTAAGATGAAAATTCTAAAGATTTCAGTGCATTTTCTGAATTGTGTATAACATTTTCATTTTACATATACATGTGTAAATACTAAATGCATATGAAATGAAATTGTGCGCGGCAACGGAAAGAAAAACGAGAAGAAAAAGGAGGAAGAACAAATATAATGGAATTAAGAATATGGAAATTGAAATTAAATATCAAGTATCGCGGATAAGCAACATACACAAACATAGCAACATTATTTCGATTTTACTTCGATACTTCAAATAGCTTCTATAAAGAGTATAAATGATGTTACATAATTGTAAATCGTTCGTTTCTTGCAGCTTATCTGTATACACTCGTTTTTAACGAAAAAGATAGTATAACAGAAATGTAATTACTTTTAATATTAAAATGTAAAACTATTAATTGATACAGCTAACAAAGGACGATAAAATTTTAGAAAACATAAATAAGTATAGTACGAAAATTGAAAATTTTGAACGTAGTGGGTATTATAGCAAAATATATGATAGGCTATGTAGTTTTTATTATATGTACATTGCGTTGCAACTTTTATATATTTATTCTTCTTCGCTTTTCTCCCCGACAAGGATAAGGATGGAAACGTATTATAAAATTTATTTATTTTTTACAACTAATAATTGACGCGTTGATTTTATTACTAACAATATAGATATTTTTTTTATCACGTTCACGTATATACACAATGTATATGTAGTACGTACCTATATGAAAACGAACTAACATGAAAGCATTCATAAACGAATTATTTCAAACAATAGCGGCTTATATCTGCAGCTGTTAAGATCAAGATGTTTACACGTTTAGGTCAATGAAAAATGATTGATGTATATTGAAACAATACAATAATATGAAAATAATAGTTTTCTGATATATTTATAGAATCGAATTATAGAAAATCGTAGATTAGATTAATTATTTCTTCGATTGGTAATTAGATCACTAGTTCTATATTTTGAATCATTTAACATTTTGGCATGAAAATAACACTGTTATACGTGTTACACACTCCCAAGTTAGTGCGATGCGATATATAGCATTAATTACCATATTTTATATTTTTATTACTTTTTTTTAGTATCTCTTGTATCTATTTTACAGGTTTATCACAACGTATGTCCTCGCAAATGCCGAAAAGTGCATTTAGTGTCTTTGAGCGGAGGCGATCAACAATTTTAGCAGAAAAAAGAAGAACACGCACTCGGGAATCGCATGACATTTATTATGATGCTGATAATTTGAGATCTTCGAACGATCAACCTTTTCAACCAGGACAATCAAATTCTCATCAATTTCAATATGATAATCCAGGATTTAAGCGAGATGAGAATATATGAGATATACAAATGTATATAAAACACACAATTGCTAAGAGATTTACAGTTCTCCGCAGCTTTGTCTTGATCCATTCTTAAGGTCAACAATGCTTTCGTGAACAATACTGTTGGCATTAACAATGCAAATCAAGACACGGAGAAAACCCGTGAACCTCTTAGCATTTTTAAAAAGATTGCCTTAAACGTAAAAACTTTAAGAGCAAAACATACATTTAATTTATTTTGAAATATAATGTAAAAAGAAAATTTCTCACTTCTCATATTGCAATCCTTAAACTTATTACATTAGTATGTTAGTAAATCAAATAAAAAGTAAACAATTTGGTAAAATCGTTGTGATCAAATAGATTATTCCTTTTTCATACATTGTAAAAATTAATTTCAGTACATCTGCTTTATGTGTATATAACGTTTTTTCTTCATTATAATTGTTCTTGTAATTTAGAATTGTATAATCGTTCTTGGTATTTTCAGAATATTTTGTGTTTTGCAATTTTTTTTCTGTATATTAATGAAGAGTGTTTAATAATTTTTTCCGAAGTCAATGCCTCTTTTGACTTTTATGTCCCCGAGATCCTGATGATTTCCCATCTCTACGGTTTGGCGGAATAACAATACGACCGGTGGCAATTTCATCTCGATCGACAGATTCGTCAATTTGTTTTTGAGCATCAAGAAAAAACATGAGATCCCGGTTTTGCTCCTTCAAATCGGTGATCTCTGCTTCTTTGGTGGACAATTCATCTTGTAATTTCTTGTGTTTTACCTGCCACGAAGTTTGGTTCAATTGTAGGGCTTTTCGCAGATCTTTTTCCTCCGTCAATTCCGCTTGTATTTGTGCCAATTTATTGGTGGAATGCTGTAGACGTTTATCCAGTGTTTGCTTGTCGCGATTCAGCGTTACGAATTGTTTCTAAACAAAATAAAGAAAAAATTTTCTTTATAATAAAATTAAAAGGAGTAAAGAAGAGTTAAGAGAAAAATAAAGAAGAAAAAATAAAAAAACAAAAGGAAATTGTGAAAAGGAAAAGAAAGAAGGATAAGGACAAAAGGAAAACAAGAGGAAAGGAAAAGAAAAAGTGAAAAAAGACAAGATAGTGTTCATTTTACTATTTACTACGTTTAAGAACTGTTATGGATTGTTGTGTACCTTGAACTGTGAATTTTCCTCAAGCACTTGTTCCAATTTATCCCTTAGCTCGGTAATCTCTGTTATGGAGCGTTGTTCGGAACGACTGAGCCTTTCTTCATAATATTGTCGTTGTGTTTCCAACTGTGACGTTAGTAAATACGTGAACTCTAACTGTACCGAATCTACTTTATCCTCCACAGCAGCACCTTCACTTTTAGTTGCCGAGTGGCCGCCTTCCACCATTTTACCATCTTTATCCTGTAGTAGTCGATGCACAAAATTATCGCCTACGTAATCCCAGACGCGATTGTTGCCCAATTGCATCGCGTAGCAATGATGTGTGTCCCGATAATGTTCAAACGCGTGACCCTGATGATAACGCGAGCAGCCTACGTGACCACAAATCAAGCAAATCCATAATGCATCATTGCTAGCATCTGCAACTGAAAAGATCCATACAAAGCATATTAAAAAAAGCCTCTAATAATAAAAGATAATGGAAGATTCTGAAACTCTTTTTTTATTATTTTCTTTCTGAAAGAATGCGTGGAAAATTTGTGCTAGTTATTATACAATGTGGAATTTAATCAAACGATAATTAAAGCGATTTCGTAAATTTCTTTTCAAGAATTGTATATTCTATTAAAAAATTAGATTCAAGATAAAATGAAATAATTTTGGAGCAATTAGACCACAAGCAACACTTACCACATTCCATGCAACGACTATCCGCTAATGGCTCTGGTGTTTGAGCGTATCGACAGATTGGACAGGATGTGTCACCCCATTTGACAAGGCAACTGGAATGGAAAGTATGATTACACAGTATCGTCAGAATTCCATCCACACTCTCGTCCATCCTTTCGAGACAAACGGGACACGATGGCAACTCTGTGTGTCCACTCAGAGGCATTCCATTGTCTCCTACTTCGACTCGGGATACAAATACCATGTGACAAACCACGTCTGGTTCTAGAGAGTTATAGGGAGCACCATTGAAGGTTTCGTAGAATTCGCTCGCTGCACTCTAAAATGCATTATCAAAAGCTTATCTTTTGGATAATATATCTTCAATCAATTTTTTACACCAACAAAGCATTTCACTAGCTCAGATATTTAATAGATATTATTTAAATTTATATATAAAATTGCCTAATTTTTCCAATTTATCAAACTCGAAGAGGATGTCTATGGTCTTATTAATTAATATGTACATGTATTGCTCATCTGTAGATGTACGTAGATCTGTACGTTGTTTGCTCACCGATGATCTAAAGGTGATCAGAGCCATGTACTGGTTTGGACTGCCGTCTCTGAGGATTCTAAAGTATTGTATGTCCTGATGACAAGCTGCTGTGAACGTTAAAAGATCGTGGCAAGTCATTGTTGCTGGTACTGATAGGATACATATAGTATGACTGCGATCTGCTGCACAACGCATTTCAGTCAGTTCACTGCAATAAAAGAGTAAAATTGTGAAAAATATATTTTTAAGTCGTTAATTCAAATGGGATACATCCATACGGAAGTCCCATCCCGTATGATTCACAGAATTGACTTTTGCTTATTGTTAGTAAAAATGTCAAGAGAAGCATTACATTGGCAGTTATTGCAGCTTTCTAATGTTTAGCATCATCTTTGTAACAAAATTTCAAATTAAATTTTTTTCAAGTAAGCACTGTCTGATTACATTAGCTGAAGAATATAATATTATTTAATAATCAATTTATACAGCTTAATTAGCTTTATTTTTCTTCAATGATCGTGTTGTTTAATGTTCATAACGATGAAAGATGAGGTGCCATGTATACAAATTATTTGGTAATATATGCAAAAGTAGGAAAAAAAAAGAAATGACTTACTCTTCCTTGAAAAGATGTAGGATGCCTTTCGTAACTTCAACAAAAGGGTTTCCAGAGATGAAACTTATTTGATCGGGTGAGGTGCAAGCGGTAGCACCAGTTATCTCCCCTGGCGCTGAATTCGCGACATGATTAGAATTCGCAAACGACGTCTCTTCAGAATTAGTTCTCGAAAACGAAAGCGATTTGCTTGTGCTTTGACTTGATAATAACGGGGACATAGTTTCTTCGACGTTTGTATAAGTCTCAACATTAATATCCCTTGGTTCTCTGCAACCTCTCGTCTTCTTTGCAGCCATCGTATCTGCGATATTTATTATTTATATAATTATCACATCTAGTTGATCACTTCATCACTTTATATTATATTGACATTGATTTGTTAGCAGAATACGGAAGAAATTAAAGTTGTTTTATAGAAATAGTCCAATTGTACACTGTAATCGCGTATCGGTATACAGAAACACAAAAAAATTATTTATTAATAATCAATGATATTACTATATATATTACGCAAATAAAATACGAATAAAACGTTGATGCTCACTAGTGGTCTCTTCTAATTCCGAATCACAAATCTCGATGCGAATAACGCATAAGGATACTAAGACAGCGGATGAATTCATGCCACATAATTAAATTACGACATGTTATAATAAATATTTCTTTTCATTTTAAGCCATACGAGCTCGTCACACAGCTCGGTACATGGTAAATACATGCGGTATGTATACATGTCAGATTAATCACTCGGAACTCGAAACGGAAATCGGAAAGAGGGAGAGGGAAGGCGTCGAAGAAGCAGATTTAGGGCGCGTTCCCACTGAGGTCTGAGCGCGTCATCCGTTGCGTTACGCAAATTGACCAATCAAAACATCCCATTTTATTGCTTAATTTGTCGCGCGCGCGACAATCCGAGGTTTCATACAAAGGAAAATTATTTTATCTCTCACCGACGAGATAATCTTAAAGACCGACAGCCTTACCTAGGGAATTAGTGTGACAGTTTAGTAATTGCCAAAATTTAAGCAATTAGTCAATAATATAACATTAATTTTATGATTTATTAATAGATCGATGTTTTTTTTAGATATGTATACATTGTGATTCATATGTACTATATCTTGCTAATAGTAAATGTAGTTTTATTTCAAACTACATTTTTATAGTTACCATCCGTGTTTGATTATCTAAAGAGATGGTAAAACAGTTGGAAAAAAAATGTAATTTTGCGACAATACATATGATATTATAACATTAAAAGTATTCATACTTATATTTATAAAGCATTTAATAAAAATCATGATCTTAATAATATATTATTCAAATAAATCGCAAATTTATGCCAAAAGTCGATAACATTGACACTTTGCAATTACCTCCGGGCCCACTGGCCCCATTTGCTGGCACAAAAATTTGTCCAGAGCTGACAGTCTTTAAAGGCGGGAGCACAGATTTTTGCATAACGCTGCATAACGCACAAGACATAATGCATAAGAAAATCAACCAATTTAGAGTCCTTCATTTCATATTCTGATTGGTTGATTTTCTTATGCCTTATGTCTTGTGCGTTATGCAAAAGTCTGTGTTCTCGCCTTAACAGTATCTCGTCGGTGTATCTCTAGAATATCTGCAAATGATGAAATAAAATGGGACGTTTTGATTGATTTTCATGACGCGACACACGTGACGCACTCAGTGGGAACGCATCCTAAGATGAAAATTACAAAAGTGAGCAAATTCATTAGAATACTTCTAATTTCATTGACCAATATCTAGTGAATTTACTTGATTTCAAGATGCACAATCGATTCGCGCGTAGCGTAGCACGAAAATGTACATACATTTTATTTATTAGGCTAGTCACTAGATTACCGGCAATGTCAGAAATAGCTACGTAGTTCCCAGTAATTTAAAAAAATGGCGTCCTGGCGGTAGTGGTATAGTTTTAACGGTCATCGAAATCGCGGCCATGGCCGGCATCACCCCTCTCAGGTTTCTCTTTGGCCATAGTCTGGACTTTGGATGGATATCACCTTGATATTTATTTTGAATTTTGAATCACATTGCTACTTGCTAGGTACATACAACTACGCCTACTGACCGAATCGGCACTGATCGGCGAGGTAAAAAACTGGGGATCATTTCTGAAGAAAAACGAGAAGAATATATGTGCAAAACAGCCATATAGATTATATTATACCGTATATTATAAAACAAAAATTTTACTTCTTAAAAGCAAGAAATATCTGTAATAAGGAAGAAAGATTTGATTATTTGTTGTGTATTTGTTTTTATGATTTAAATAGTCAAGTTCTCCGATACAGACGTCAACTATGAGTTATTTTAGCGATTTACATCAAATATCAGGTAAGTGACATATTTTTACTTTTAAAAAGTTAAAGCAGATGTGCAGAAATTAAAAAGTATTTAGTTAATAAATTTTACATCTGTTTAAAAGTTTATATATTTATGTATTACGTGCATGAATATCTTATATATTGTAATTGTATACTATCATGTTAATTCTTATGATATTCATTTTGTTTTTCCAGATATTTCCAGTATTTCGGCAATTTCCCAGTCCAGTAGCAGATTAATTAGTAGAATAAATTCATCGCAAAGTTTGTTAGACAACCAGTCCAGTGCTACAAGAAATAATGATAGATTTACCATAAACCAGGAAACAAATGCGATCGAAAAAACAATAAACTCATTGATATTATGCGAAGAAAGTATAAATGAACATGTCAAATCTAATATTATTTATCAGTGTTTGAAGGAAGCATCTTTAAACCACAAAGCTGTTCTATCTAACAGCACAGCAAGAAAATTACGAATATTGCTTTTAATTCATGAACTGGACAAGTATATGCATCTTCCTTCAACAATGAAACATATGCAAGATAAATTGATACTTTTGGGAATTATTGATTTACCGTCGTGTGACTTAAATTCTGATGAGAAATTAGAGGTCAAGTGTTGCATCGAGACAATGCTACGAGAAGTAATACATGATATGATTTTAAGGTGAATATTTTATCATATTAGAAAAGATTTTATTAATACATCTTCATACCAACTTTTGTACCAAGTTTTGTAAATAATATTACACACGTGTGTGTGTGTGTGTGTACATATATGTATTACATATATGTACACACATATATGTAATATGAATTACATATTAACAATATATATGAAAATTAATAAAATTATGTTTTTATATGTTGTAAAAGATATGAAGCTTTAGGAGGAAATGCTAAGGAAGCGTCAAAGAACAACGAATGTAAGATGCATAACAAATTCGTGGAATATTGTGATGTGCCAGCAGCAGTACAATGGAAAAATAAAATTCAAGATTTAATTCTGCATTGCGAAAGTGACTTGCTGAAATACATAAACTTAATGGACAAATGGAACAAGTTGAAATATGAGGATATGAACCAAGCATATTTAGAAAAGACAGGATATTTATTGTTGCAAGCGCAAGTTGCCGAGTTGCAAGCAAAAATAACAAAGTTTTCTTGTACAATCAGAATGTTCAAAGAAACATCGACTACTGTTGATGCTTTCAAAATGCTAAATCAATTAGTTGAAAAGAAATTAAAAATGATTACTGATGAAATTCGCCAGAAAGAAGATCTAAAAAAGCTGTACGATAATTTAAAAAATACAGAATATGATCAGATATTATTAATCTACTCACAGCTTTGCAATGCAATAAAAAAGAAAAAACATATCTTGGACATATTAAAATAGGTTTGTAAATAAATGAAGAAGTTAATAATCAAAGCAATATGTGCATATACATACATATATATATATATTATATATATATATATATATATACACACACACACACACATGTATTTATCTGGTTTAAAAGTAAATATTTTTTGCATTTACATTTTGTAAAATACATCGACAATCTTTCTCTTGATCAAGATTCTATGGTATAAGGTTTAATAAAGTTTATATTTAAATAGTTTATTAAATTAGTAAATATATGTGTAATAATACTAATAAATTATCTTAAAAAGAATGATAATTTTTTTATTCGTTATCGGAAGCTCTATTTTCATTCTTCAAAACAATAAGTGGTATGCAATTTTTATCAGCGAGAATTCCATGCTCGATGAGGAATGCTTCCACGTCCGATGAATAGAAATCTACTCCTAAATGATCCGTAACATGGACAAAATTTCCTATCACTTGTCCATTTTTATACACTAACAATGTTGGTACGCCAAATTTCTTGAATTGTTTGCTGACACCTGCAATTGAGCCTAAAAAAGAATATAAAGAAATATATTGCTAAAAAATTTGCCACAATATACATTTAAAAAATAATAAGATGAAATTTTTTTCCTGAAATTATGAAAAATATTGATATAAAAAATCAAACTTTGTTAAAGCTAACTCTGTTTGAAGATGAACAAAAATAAGATCTTATTTAGTTACAATTTGAGAATTTAATTCTAGTTAAAAATATTTAAGTTTATTTAATGATATTGATTGAGAGTAGAATCTATATATAATCTGAAAAGTAACAAACCTAAAATTTTACAAAACTTTACGTAAGGATATTCTTCCGCAAGAGATATCAAGCATCCATTCATGGCTTCGCAACCAGATACATTATCCTCGTAAATATGAACAATAACAATTACTGACTTATCTTCTCCATCAACGGCTTGTAGAAATTGATCTGTATTCTCCAAGTCAATAACTTTCCCAAAACAAAGTTTCTCTGTTTTTGCAAGCATTTCTTTCATTCTCTGTCTCTGATATTCTAGAAGAAATTCATCAGTTAATAAATTTGCCAGCTCTGGGTCTGTCTCATTCAGTTTTTCTTTTTCTTCATCTAAAGCACTACGGCATGTTAAACTCAGTTTCTTAATCAACTGCAGCCTTTCTTTCTCTTGCGATTCTCGTTTTTCTGCTTCTAACTGCTTATATCGTTGCCAATCCTTTCAAGAATATACTTCAAATTAATGAATAAGTCAAATAATCAATCTAATATTTGATAGTAAAACTTAAATATGTATGTGTGTATATATATGCGCGTGTTCAATTTTCAGTTTCTTGATTTTTATATCTTTCTGCGATTAAAATAGAATTAAAATAAACACAGAGTATATACATGTGTATATAATTATTATACCTTTATAACACCTTTAGGTCCTGTATTACTGGAAGTCCCGTCCCATTCCAAGTATGAAGGCTCAATATATTGTGCAGTATCATCAGCATATTTCACATCATCACATTCTTTGTCTTCGGAATCTCCAGAATCATTTCCTTCATCTTCACTGGAACTGCTGCAGTAGTAGTGTAATTTTTCTCCCAAAATTTTATCTTCTAATGTTGACATGATCTTGGAATTTAAAACTGTATGTAAAACAATGAATTAAGTGTGGTGTCCTTTGACATAAAAATACAAGGAATTTGTTTAGATTTAGATCAGTATGTATACAAAGTATTAATTGTCATAAATATAATTGTAAAATGTTTTGTAATTGATAATATTAATCAGACAGATAATTAATCCTCTTAGCTAATATTTGTAATGTGAAGTAGAAGAAATACATTTTTTTAAACACATCAAAATTTGCAGAATAATCAACAAATGATTTTAAAGAATTTTATTAAATATTATATGAATGATTGTGCAACAGAGAGATTCTTATAGTATTTGTTTCTATTAGTAATAAGTTAGTAGTAAGTAAATTTTTCATTATACATTGCGTTGTATTCATATTTATATTTTACAGAAAAAATAAAAAACCATTTTTGTTAGAAATTAATGGTTAGAAACTCGCCATTTGACATACATGTAAAGAATCTGAAGGCGTGGAAGGCGTCAGTGCGTCACCAGTCCAGACGTTACTACACAGTTATGTGCCACTCAGTCAGTGCCACTACACACTGGCACACTGCTTAGTGCTTACATGCTATACTCAATACTGTTCTTCAGTGTTTATATGTATGTATAATGATGTCGGCCATGTTGGCATTAGCGACGCTAGTGTTCGATGCTAAAACTTAAAACTATCCAATCAAGGTCTCATCGATAAAAATGTACTATATGAATGAACTATCTTATGTCGATAAACATAAAATTTATATCGACAATTGATAATGTTGTTTGTAATCGTTGATAATTTTCATTTATCAATTATATCAGGTTCACGTATATGTATAATATACATATAATATATATACATATAATATATAAATTTAAATATAAGTCGTGAAAAAATTTATCCCCAGAATTTTTGACATTTAAGCGCTATGAGCATGATTTGTTTAATATTTGATAAATAACAAAAAATAAAATGATTCCTTACTTCAATTATAAGCAAAAATTTTGTATGGATAATCGATCGATAACTATAATTTAAGTGACTTAAATTTAGATGTCCGTGCTTTATTATTAACTATAAAAATTATATTATAAATGTAAAATATTAATTAATCTGGGAAAAATAGTTCCATATATAATATATATATAATTATATGCAAAATATATAACCATATATGTTAAGTTTCTTTCCTTTGTAAAATTATTCTTTAATACAAAATTGATAATAATAAAAAGAAAACATAAAAAATAATTAAAAGAATAATTTTTAGATTGATTTCTTTTACAAAAAATAAAGTTTAAAGAAATGAGAAAAATTGCTCATATGTATATAATCATATATGTATAAGTGATTAAAAATATACATATATAATTATGTATGAACAATTTTTCTTATTTCTTCAAACTTGATTTTTTGTAAAAAAAACCAATGTAACAATTATAATTCTTTTAATTATTTTTTATGTTTCCTTCTTATTATTATCAATTTTGTATTAAAGAATAATTTTACAAAGGAAAGAAACATATATGAACATATTTTGCATATAATTATGTATGGAACTTTTTTTCCCGGGAATATAAGATATATTAACTATAAAATAAATAACTATAATGGATACAATTAATAATTACCGTATTATTGACTTTTATTAAATATGTTGTTAAATTAAATAAATTTAAGGTTTAATGCATTGATCGTTTATCTATATATTTGCTATACTCTTCTTATACAATCGTGACCTAAATAAACATACTTTATTGCGAGTGCGTTTTTTAGTAATACTTGAGAATAAACATATTTTATTAAGATAAATATTCATGTTATATAATTCTCACATATATTTATAATAAAACCTACTTGTTTTAGATCGATGCGTTTTTTATGTAACTTTGTAGCTTTGTCCCCGCTTAGCAAAAGTATCCAATTAAAATATATTGTAGGAATATTCTAAAAATATATTTGGAATATGTAATATCTTTAGAATATCGCTATAATGTATTTTGAATATTTTTGCTATCTGGGCCTCAAAATATACTCCTTCTTTTTATGAAATGGGAGCTGAACACAGATCGGAAGAGCACACGTCT